TAAAGAGCCTCTTAATGAAAGTGAAAAAGGAGAGTGAAAAAGTTGGCTTAAAGCTCAACATTCAGAAAACTAAGATCATGGCATCTGGTCCCATCACTTCATGGGAAATAAATGGGGAAGCAGTAGTAACAGTGTCAGATTTTATTTTGGGGGGCTCCAAAATCACTGCAGATGGTGATTGCAGCCATGAAATGAAAAGATGTTTATGACCAACCTAGATAGCATATTAAAAAGCAGAGACATTGCTTTGCCAACGAAGGTCCGTCTAGTCAAGGCTATGTTTTTTCCAGTGATCATGTATAGATGTGAGAGTTGGACTATAAAGAAAGCTGAGCACCAAAGTATTGATGCTTTTGAACTGTGGTGTTGGAGAAGACTCTTGAGAGTCCCTTGGACTGCAAGGAGATCCAATCAGTGCATTCTAAAAGAGATCAGTCCTGGGGGTTCATTGGAAGGACTGGTGCTGAAGCTGAAACTCCAATACTTCGGCCTCCTGATGCGAAGAACTGACTCATTAAAAAAGACCCTGATGCTGGGAAAGATTGAAGGCAGAAGGAGAAGGGGACGACAGAGGATGAGATGGCTGCATGGCATCACCGATTCGATGGACATGAGTTTGAGTAGACTCCAGTAGTTGGTGATGGACAGGGAGGCCTGGCGTGCTGCGATTCATGGGATCACAAAGAGCTGGACATGACTGAGCGACTGAGCTAAACTGAGCATCTTATAAGTACTATGCTTCACAATAGGGATGCAAGCAAATATGACCTGTCGTATTAAATTACAGTGAAAATCATAGATTTTTAACTCAGACTTTTTATAACAGATTTTTTTGTTGTTATATAATTCACTTACCATACAATTCTCTGATTCTGATTATTTTTAAAGGAGATGACTACTATATTTACTCAACAAGTATTTTATGAACATACTGTGTGTGAGGAAAACTGTTTAGGCGTTGGGATTAGAGAGGCTGACAGTAGTTCTACAAAACCTAGCTTCCCATAATGTGTCCATCAACAGAATATTTTATTTTGTTTTGATTGAAGCATCGTTCATCTACAGTGTTCATCAGTGTCGGGTGTGCAGCAGAGTGGTTCAGTTTTGCGCATATGTATCTATTTTTTCAGATTCGTTTCCCTTAAAGGTTACTACAGAATTTTGAGTATAGCTCCCTGTGCTATAGAGTAGTTCCTTGTTGGTTACCTATTTTACATATAGGTAGATTTGTTTGCTATATCTGTGGGTCTGTTTAACAGAGTTTTTATATAGTGTTGACATCCAACGTTTGGTATCAACAAAGGGTACTCAGGGCTTCCCAGGTGGTGTTAGTGGTAAAGAATTTGCCTGCCCATGCAGGAGACACAAGAGACTTGAGTTCAATCCCTACATCAGGAAGATCCCCTAAAGAAGGGCATGGCAACCCACTCCAGTACTCTTATCTGGAAAATCCCTAGACAGAGGAGGCTGGTGGGCTACTGTCCATAGGGTTGCAAAGAGTCAGACATGACTGAAGCGACTTAGAGGGCATGCACGCAAGTGTGCTCTGGGGTCACAACAGATGGGCAAAGAAAATACACTCTGGGGAGACCTTGGGAGGTTTCTGAGAGGCTGTTATCTCTAAACAGAATCTGAGAAGTCTGTTGAGAGCTTTCTAGGTTGATGACTGGGGACCAAAGAGGGGAAAATGTTTTGGGAAGAGGAAAGAAACCTGCCCACACAAAGTGGTGTGACATAGGTAAACCACAGCAGTTCAGTAGGGTTCCAGCCGAGGGGGTGGTAAGAGGACAGTTTCTGTTGAGTCTGAAGGTCTGAGAGGCTGTTAGTGTGTGCCTTCATAGAAATGTGTGCGTGTTACTTTGAGGTCACAAAGGAGCATGAGGTCAGTGAGCGGATGTGACATGTGAGTTGAGTCACAAAGATATCTAGGAGGGTTTTGAGGCAGTCTACAGTTAGTCCAGGCATAAGGAACTGCAGTTGTAGAAATAAAAGAGTGGTGTTTTTAGCTGGGTCAGGAATTTGAAGGACTTGGAAGATGAGGTAAGTGAAACAGAGAAAGAATAGAGCCAAAATATTACATTGGTGAGGGTTGAAGGGTAGCTTATGAATGAATTCTGTGCAAGGCAATGAATTTGTACATTGTGCTCTTCATCCTGTAGGCACCTGGGGGAGTAGGGGTCGAAGTTTGAGAGAAGACTGGAACACTGAAGATTTGAGAAAATAAATTAGAAGTTTGCTTCCGAAAGATAACTCTGGCTAGACTCAGATCGGAGGAGCCCTGGCTTTTGAATGAAAGTAGGAGTAAGCCATCTCTATTGTTTAGTGTAGTGTTTATCTAGTTAACATTTTATGTAAATGCTACCTATCAATTTCCCTTTGCAGCAATGGTCAACTGTTTCTAATATTAGGAAATTATAATTAAAATAAATGGAAATGATAGCCAACATTCATTGAAAACATACTATATCACTTCCATGTATTAATTCAGTTGATCCTCACAACAACCCAATGAGGAAGCCTGTCATTTTGCCCAAATTTTACAGGTGAGATAGTGTTCTAGAGAGGTGAATCCTGGAATTTCTAAGTGGCAGAGCTGGTGTTTGAGCCACAACAGTCTATATCCTAGGCCTAATTATAAGAACTGACAGATGAATGCATAGCCAATACTACTAACAGTAATGATGTTGATGAGGAATTTGGGTGCAGTGTGTTTTTTTTTTTTTTTTTTTTTTAATGGCTCAGTGTTTCAGTGATTTTTACGACCATTATCCCCATCTAATCTTAACACTTTTCTTCCATCTCAAAAAGAAATTTCATATCCATTTGGAGTGACTCAAGAGTCACAAAGAGTGACTCTTTGTCACAAAGAGTCACAAAGAGTGACTCTTTGTAACCTCGTATGTGCCTTAGTGGTCATCAGTCTTTAAGTGAATGTGATTTTACTTTAGTGACAGTCTATTTTAAATAGTAGCAATCTGATAGCCTTACTCAGTAACTCAGGAGGGTAACATAGTTTGAACTTATAATTTCTAACATCTGCATGTGAGCAATGTTCTCTGTTCTTAATTTAGGCAGAGAAGTGTAAAAGTGCCAGCCCCGTGTCAGTCATTGGTCATATGCACATGAGTAAGACTGCGCCAGGCCCCAGACTTGAGTTCATATGTCTTCTGGAGATGCTGACACTGAAATAGACACATTATTGGACAACATTGGAGAATGGACTTCATCTAGAAATCTTGACATATTTGTTGAAGGACTTGTGTTAAACTTCTTTATGCTGGAACCCATTGAATTGTTTATAAAAATCTAGATTGTATGAAGCATTTGGATTGCTTGGCATTTTGAGGATAAAATCCACACTGATGTTAAGAAAAATAGAACTCCCCATCCAGAATAGAGTAGTGATTGCCAGACATGAAATAGCCCAGCTGTGCAGTGACTTAAAGGACAGTTGGTCTCAGGCAGAGAGTACTAGATAGGATGTGGCTGCACAAGTAACTGTAAGCCCTGAATTACTGTACCTATTTTGTAGCACATACATCTAAAATGGCTTAAAATAAAAATTGCAAATGCACCAGATTTGATCAATCTTAGCATTTCTTTTTCTTATTTTCTCAGTCCCAAGTTAAAAATAAAATCCTCCTGCCTCATTTTCTTGTGTGCTAGTTAGTTAGGATTAACTGGTGTTCTCAACAGGAAAGCAATAGATATAGTAGATGACATTGTATAGTGGGTGAGAGCCCGGTAGAGATAATTATACAGTCACTCCCACTATATTACCCTTCAAAGAAACTGAGCCTAATATTCTCCTCCTAAGCAATTTAACCAACTTCTAAAAAAAGGTATAAGATATTATTTAGAGAATGAAATAGCTACTGTATATAATCAAGAGCGAGAATTATAGCAAATTATAATACTCATTTGATAAGTATATAAAGAGCTAGACTCGGAGCTTTGTATCATACCTCCTAAGTAATTGTTCAGTTGTGCTAACTGTCCTTTATAAAGGAGAGGAGATAAAGAACTGCTATAAAAAAATCAACTGTTATACTTGTTCAGTAAGGTTTCCCCCTCTGGGCATGGATTAAATCTAATTTCATGCTCTGCAAGGATCAAGCACACATTTGGTCCTCAAATGTTTAATAGTGGTGATTTCTTTGGCTTTCCAAAGATAATATCCATGTAGAGACATAGACACTAGTAGAACTAAATGTGATTAACATGTGTTTTAAGAGTATGTCTGTGTAAGTATAGATGTTATATACCTGAGTTCACTGATCTTACATCCCAAAATTTTAAAAAGATAGGGCTACACGCAGATTTTTTTCAATAATTCTTTGAAGATAATCAAAAGGAGGTTGAAACTTCTGCTAAATTGTCCATTTAGTATATTAAAGTGTTGGCAGTAATAAGTATTGGTTTGCTTTAAACAAGACAGACAGGTGTAAGTGTTAAGAGGCTTAAGTGTGAGCACTTATTTTGAGTTTGTAATTCTTGTACTTCTACTGCGCCCCCCCCCACAAAAAAAAGTACTGATCTGACTGCTGTAATGAGAATCTGCACTATATAGTGGCTAAGAGCAGTTACTCAAAAGATGGCAGCTACCTTAGATGGAAAACTCCGAATTCTCCACTTACTAGCTGTGTGACCTTCAGTAGGCAGTGTAATCTCTCCATGCCTCAGTTCCTGATTTCAAATGGCTGGAAGAAAATCCCGAGGGTAATAGTGGAACCCTCTTTTATCATTGCTCTTGATGACTCAGTGAAGAGTATTATGGCAAAATTCATAGAACTTTCATGATTTTCAATTGAAAGGTGGTTCAATAGGCTGAACTCTAAATGTGAAGAAGCTTTTGGAATGCTGCAGTTTGTTTCACACACATACACACACACAGGCATATGTGCAATGGAGTGACATTTTTTAAAAGACTGTCTAAATAATGTAAGAATGTTTCTTTCAATAACATATAATAACTTATCTAATAACAAAGCACTGTCATAATTTAAGTAACAATATTTTTTGTTTCTACTGGTGCAATAACATTACATTTTATAATCATTGGCATCTTTTTTGATGGGACACTGTAAGAACCCAGAAAACATTAACAGTTCTAATTAGTATTTGGGTTGAGGTTAATGTGTGTACATTGTTAAAGGTAATGGTCTTAAGGCCTTTAATTTCGGAGTCAACTGTGTTTAAAGAATATTTTGCATTTGCCACAAGTATACAGATATATCAGTGAGACTTGGATATTGTGCTAACTTAATCTGAAATTTACATCTTCTAAATACCTACACACTTCCCCTTTCTCTTGATTATGAAGGTTAAATTGAATAATAGAAGTGAAAGCATTCTGTAAACCAAAGTTAAGAAATAGCAGGATAGGTCAGGCAATGCTATGCTAACAATTATTCTCCAAATCTCAGTTCTTCAAACAAAAGCTATTTTTTTGCTTCTGTTATTTGTTCACTCTGGATCAGACCTTCTTTGCAGACTGAGGGAATAGCCACCATCTCAAACAGTGCTGTCCCGCATCCCAGAGTAAAAGACCTCTGAGGGTCTTGACCTGTCAATTGCACACTCTGGCCTGTAAGTAACACATGCAGACTTGTACTTATAGCGTTTCAGCCAAAACTATTCATATGGCTCCATCTAGCCATCAGCGTGCCAGAAAACAGAGTTGGAAATACTTAGAAAGCAGCATTGATGGCTACCACAAAGTCTGTAATAATAATAATAATCATGGCTCCTATATACCAGGAACTGCTTTTAATGCTTTTCAGGTGTGGAGTTCTTTAGTGCTTATGAAATAGGTATGGTCATGATTCCCATTGTACAAGTGGGCAGAAAAATGATAGATTAACCTCTGCAGAAGAGGAAGAGCAGAGCTTTTACAGGATCTGTAGTATTGATATATATTTCAAACAATAATGAAATTGAATGTGTTTTTTTAAAATTGTAAAAGGAAGATAGAGTTGAGATTTTCTGAAAAAACCAGAGAGTGGACTAAGTGATCCATAAGGTGTCCTAAAATTTCACCTGAATCCTTAAATGACCTGCAGGAAAGGTGGACTCCCCTGTTCCTTTTGTAGCCTCATCTTCAGAAGCCATGGGCCCCCTCCTGAGCAGCACACTTCTCTGTTAGCTCAGGAGAGAAGCATTGTCCCAGTAAATGAGCTGCCAGTGTTTCTGGGAATGTTCCCCTTTTGACTTATTTGAACTTTCTATTTGAGAATGTCAAACACATGTGTAAGTAGAAGATTATAGTGAACCCAGTGTTCCAGATGATCAGTTATCCTTATACAGTTATCAATGCCCACCCAGTCTTCCATGATTTAGCTTCTTAAGTTAATCTGGCCATCTATCAAGTAGATGTTTGAACACAGACCGAGTTCCTTGAGTTTGTGAGGCTCAGAGAACAGGACTTCCAAAACAGAAAGCCGGTGACCAGTTGGCAGCTTTGTGATGAGTAGGCTTAGTGAGGACATGGGGAAGATGGGATTGAAGAGATTGATTTGAAGAAAGGGCATCACTAATCAATACTTTAGACAAGTTTTCAAGCTGAAGATAAATGATGTGACAGTATTTAATCATTCATTAGACACTCTTGCAAGGTAAGTGGGGAAAGGAGAGATTTGTTGGTAAAGTGTGTCAAAATGATTGCCTTTCTCCCCAGCTAAAACTGTAGTCTTATTCACCACTGAGATAGCTAATAAACGGAGAGAGTGGACAGGTGATGTCTGTTATGGGGCAGTGTAGGGAACCTCTGTGTTCTGCACCCTGCTGTCAGGCAAAGAATCCTCTGAACTAGAAAGCACACTGCTTGACCAACCTGGGCTTCCAAATCAGCAATATCCAGAGGGCCCTGGGTCATTGAACCTCCCTGTCCCTTTGAAAGACGCACATACTAACCATTCTGGGGCCTTACGAACCTCTTATAACATTCAATTAACAAATGTTCCTCAAATGCTGTGAGCTCCCCACTTGGATAGATGTGACTGAAATGTAAAGTACCTTTCACTGCCTTATTTATTGCTCCAGCAAACACGTTATATGTTGGCACCATTTATCTTCATTTTAATTTTATCTCCAACAAATATAGGCATTAATTTAAATCACATACAGAACATAACAGTTTTTATAGAGGCAAACTTATTCCAGTGTGCTGCATTTTAATATCACACTTTACCATCTTTTCTCACTTGATTCAAGAATAGTATCTCTTCCTGCCTCAGCATTTAAGCTGAGGACAACAGAAACTTTTTTTGTGCGTACATGTTCTTGCTCTCAAACTTCATCTT